CAAACAGTAAATTTTTATCAGATAAGCACTTCGAATACCGCAACACTAAATTATAAAGTTAAAAAAAAATTGAAGATATAGAGTCAAATTACGTTAAGTTGGTTAGTTAAATTATGTTCTTCATAATAATATGAAAAATATTAAAACTCATAATGCTAAAATAAATAATGCCATAATTTTTCCATAAACTAAGTGCTTCTTAAATTATGTAATTATAATATTTCGTTTAATTAAATTGAAATTGAAATCCGTTATAATTATAACGTAAGTAAGTGATAAGTACGAAGAATTTAGAAAACTCTATTTTACATTACCTACACACAATTATTTAATAGAATAGTATTGTGACTAGAATTACTGTGTTTATACTATAGTATTTAATAGTATGTAAATATAGGTTTAATAATATTATGTATACATTTGTAGTATATTTAAAAAATATAAAAAAAAAAATGAAACAATAATGTAACTTCAATGTATAGATTATGTTTAAAAAACCAGTCGACAATTTGTATTCCGTTTTCTCTCTTATGGCAGCTTATAATTTTCTACTCGTTTAAATGTCACAGTGTTTGTTTTTAAAGACATACTACTTGAAACTTTCTTCTCCAACATACAATTACATATACGTCTATACTCACACAAATTTCCTCGGGCACTTACAGATTCCAAAAGTACTTACAGAAGTTATGTAAACACTGTCGGAAAATATAAAGGAAACATTGTTGAGCTTTTGTCATTTGAGTGCAATTATATTCAGCACGATTAGTGTTTGTGAAAGATTTATGGTTACGATAGGCATTTGATGTCAATTAGGTTTTTACTCGTTTTAAAGTAAGTAAACTGTCTTAGGAGTTGATCATTTTCATTTTAATTACCATACAAATATATTAAGTATTTTATTAAATTGTGAAACAGAATAAAACGTAACATTTATATTCTATTGAGCATAAATATTATATATGAAACGTAAAGCATATACGTAAATATGTATGAAATTCGCCTATAATTTTGAATATGTGTGAGCTATAAAGATGTATTTATGATTAGTAACCAAATTAATACTGTTAAATGCAATGTTTGAAACTTTTGGCGGGTAACAGCTATACCACAGTAGGTATATTGGAAATAAATTTCTTGCTAAACTTTAGTTTCCGTTCGTAAACTGTTTACAGATATAATGTATATTATTTTATCTTGAAGTTGCTAATTTGATTAAACACAGATTTTCACTAGTAATTATGATTATCAGCCATAAAAATGCTTTTCCTATTTCTCAGTAGAATGTATTAATTAAATGGTATGAATTATTACAACAGTTAAATTGTAAACAATTTAAGAAAAGAAAAACGCATTATTTAATTAAACTTAATATTTATATTAATATTAAATGAAATAGCAGAAAATATGAACAAAATCTGAGCTCAATACAAAGCATTAAGTAAAATACTCTTGATAGTTGTTTACGGATATTAAAACTATTATTTATTTTCTTGATACATTTTTGAAATGCAGGACGTTTTTAAAACTTATAATTGCTTTTTTAATACAAAAATGTAAAAATAGTTAATGTAGAAAAATACAATTTTAGGTACTACATTGAAAAAAAACTTGTACAAAAACAAAATATTTACTTTTTAAAGTTTTAAAGGAAAATATTTTTCAGAACTTGGTGAAAAACTATTTTTTCTTCTGCTTCTTATCGAAGATAAAAAGCTATTGTATTCTAAACCACGTCAGTTGCTTTTATGGCTGCTGGTAGAAGTATAAAGTACGTATACATATAATATATATATGTGATTGTTGGAAAACTTGTGTTTACCTATACAATTTGTTAGTTAGGTACTCGGGGAAGTATATTTTTTACATTGAAGTGATAACGTAACGCATAACTAACATAAATAATTGTTATTACGTTTTTAGCAATTTTATTAAAAAAAATAAAAGAGAAGTCACACAAATAATATTTCTTTTTGTGTAACGCAATGTGATTATTGGGAAATATGTCGTAGATAGCAATTATAATTATTGAACATTGTAATATTATGATTGTTTACTCGCTTTTTTCGATTAATGATATTTAACAACAATTTATGATCCTTTTTTTATTCTCGATCACAAAGTCATCATAAGATAAATATCATAATATTTTTTGTTCAATCTTGTAATTAAATTAAATCATTTAATGTCTTTAAACTTCTACACAATTATATCAATGTGGAGCTCAAACTCTAGGTAAATTCGAGTTTTCCAAAGAAAATATTTTTCATTTCTAACAACAACGCACAACTTTGCCGATTTTTCTTCACTAGACATTACGAGCTAACCATATATTATCAATTTGTTTTCATGCCATTCGACAGTTATAAATGCTTTATGACGAATGGGTACTTTATGTTAATTAATGCATCGTAAAAATGTTTATTATGAATGTTTCTTGGAAAGTGATTCCTATCGTGATGTTATGACTTGTATCGTTATACTTATAGGTATGACATTAAAATTAAACCACTGTGGGTATGTATAGACGTATAGTGGTTAAATATTTCTGTATATGAAAAATACGGCACATTATGCAATTATTATATTATTTCAACTACAAAATAAAACGATAAAAATAGGTAAAATAATTTAAGAAATCGTATGAATGCGTATATTATAATATTATTATGATCTATTGTTTATAGCTCCCACGGTTTATTAGACGTCATTACAAATGAACGAGGTAAAATTATTTTACATTTATTTATGTTCGGATACTTTTTTTATTATGACATAAATATATTGCATCCTCAAACATTTGTTTTATAGGCAAACGAATTACCATAACGTCTAATGACAATGTTACGGTATATATTTGTACAATTTTTATTCATTCCTACGGCCATTTAAAAGCGAAAATACTATTTTTTTAAGTTTCAGTTGTTGTAAATTATAATAATAATAATAATAATTGAAATTAAAAACTACATTCGGACGGTTCCCATACTGGCTGTACATGAAAGGTTACAAAATATTTAACAATTTGATTTAGATTTTTTTTTTTTTCTAGAAGTTTCACGCGGGCCGAAATATTCGTAAATTTGATTGTCACGATTACTTTGAATATCACAGAATAAAATATAATTCACCTGCATGGTCATATTATTAAAAAAATGCATTAGGAATACACGACCATACAATTTTGAAACACTACCCCGATGTCATATAATATACTGCAACGGCCATGTTTGATGTGTTCATTTATTTTATGTCAACGCAGTCCAACATATTATACGGGTCTGATATTGAGTTCGATGCATAATACGATATCATAGAGTTATATAGACGTTATATTAGACATATTATAATCATATTGATAATAACGTATACGTATCGGATAGATAATAACATATAATGTCATCTAGCGCATAGTGTCATTCTGTCTCCTACGTACATAATACGGGTATAAAAATGATGTTTCCGTCAGCTGCAATCTTTGAAAACAAATCGCAACAGCTCTCGTATATTATATAATAGTTTTATTGCGTTTTATGTTTCGACGACGACGTCTCGTTAAAGTCAAACTGATATAAATACTATAAATATGACACGTTTGAAACGTGTTTTTGAAGTTGCGTGTACACTATTTTATTATTATTGTTATTATTATTATTATAACGACGTCCGAACGATAGACTATTATAATATACCTACGGAAGCGTACATACGTATATAAATAATAGGTGCTGCAGTTCATTGTTTTTGAAACGAAAACAATAAGGAACAAATATTCTATACATATATTATAATATCAACTGTGACGTATTTTAATATATAATGTATTCCGCGAGGTTGTGAAAATGCCGAGCATGAAAACGCTATGTGCAGGAATAATGTTATTACGACATTAGATCCCACGGACGCCTGGCGCGGCGGAAACGCGCCTTAATCACCATAATTTGTTAATAAAGGATACCTGGTGGCTGGCATATATAGTGAACTTGTGGCGGGGTGGGTCAGGGGTGTGGGAGATGTGTCGGAGGAGCAAAGGAAACGCGGGTCACCGACGTCGTCGCCTCCCCCTCCGGCGCATTTTATCCCCAGCGCGGCGTCAAGGTACGTACCTGCGTACCTCCATAGCTGATACCTACGCTTGTTTCAATATTATATACGTATAGGAGGGTAGATACCTTCTGTTGTAATAGTGTCGTGACCAAATACTCTAATTAAAACGTTCGGTGTCCTCTCATTTCAAGCGAACGGCAAAGGTAAAACCATACTGTAGACTGTAGTAGGTACCTAGTCAACCGATGATGGTGCCAGTAGAAGCTGTAGTATTATTATTAGTAGTAGTGTTGATGGTGGACGGTGGTAATCATATGCTTTTCAAGTATTAAAGTACTTATTATAATTATATATTAAAAATACAGAAAAAGAAAAGAAAAAAAATAGGTCTAAAGTGAACCTTTGTACCTATGTCAAACTCTATAAGGATTAGTCTGTTAACGTTGTTTCTAATCAATTTTTTTTTTAGGGTGTGTATAAATAAAAATTTTAAAACATTTCAGTCTTTTTTTTTTTAAATAGTAGATACAAAAAAACCGAGAGCTTTTTAAATAAACATATTTTTTATAACAACCTTCTTAAATTGTAAAATAAATACTTAAGTAATAATATAATATAATATTCAAAAATGTATCTATCCATAATATTATCCTCTTTTGATTTTATAACAATTATTTTGGTTCTAAAATCAACAGATTCAAAATGTAAGTATAACTCCGTAATCACGTAACAACAAACAACAGTGATAACATTTTTATTTTTAATTTATATTAATATGTCATAAAACCCCTTAAAAAATGCTGATACATAACATCCTATTAACAACGATATTTTGACCTTAAATTTCGTATCCATTTTTGGCTTCAGTAACTCCGTGAGCCATATCTCGCCGACAATATAATATATTGTGTATTTCTATTATAGATAAGTGCATGCCGCATAATGAGTCTTACCTGAAAATAGCGCCAAACACAGCACGAAACTCCACCTTATCAACGATGAATCCATAGTCTAGCAGTAGTCTCCTTCTCCTCCTCCTCCTACTCCTCTTATATCGCTTCTGAAATACATATACACAAAATGGGATCAAATATAAATTAACTGTATTTTGGCTTAAGAATATTAGTAGTAGTAGTTTAGCATCCCTTTTTTGACCTTTCTCGACCCACCCGGACTTATCTTAAACGCCCACTCGTTTAGTTGACGATGTTTAAGTATACTTCGGTCTATATGTATTTGAGCGTGTGTACCAGTGCGTTTCCCTTAAGCATTGCAGTATCTGTACAGTGTATAGATAAAGTAAAACTACCAGTGTACCTAATAATATTGTTTGTTTATCATTATATTATAACCTAATCAAGATTTTCAACAATACTGTTCATAGCAAATTCGTTCCGCGAATTCAATGTTTTTTAATTATTAAAACTATTGTCCATTAAATAAAATGTTATCATATCATTATTATTCTATTAATTCATTCAAATTCATTTTTGTGTTTAACCGTAATTATTGTGTGGATTTGAAATTTTTTTGTCCATATATTCGTAGATTTGATAATAAAAAGCTTTATATAAATACTCGTATTAAATAAAAACCTATTTTATACTAATATTATATTTGTTTCACCATTCGATTTCAATTTTTGTTATGAGCGGTCACAAAATAATATAAACTGTATAATTCATTGTTCATCATAATCATAACGATTGATAAACGTAAAAAATTAATATGCATTCGTATAAAATTAAATCAATCCGTATGACGATTCGTGAAATACACAAACCAAACTGACTTTGATGTACACAAAAGCATTACAATCTATGTGCCTATCAATAACGTTGAATCATTTGGGAATAAAAGTGTAGGCACATCGTATCTTTAAAAAAGTTTGACACCAGCTGCGTACGATTCAGTAATCTAGTATGACGGAAAAGCAACAGAATTACGTTTTTATGCCTTGAGATTATTTATATTTTATACGTCTCACGAATAATGTAAAACATTTAAATTGTTCTTCAAAATAAATACGTCTTATTCGTCCAAGTACTTTAAATTTCTTTATTTTCATAGATTTAACATGGCATATTTCAATGTTAAAATAAACTAATATTTCTTTATAATTTCGAGTTGCATTTTTTTTTTTTTTTGAACTGTTGTTCTGGTTTATTTAAGTTTACTATTTATAAGGGAAACCAAAAAACAATTATTGTGAAACTGAACTGCCATATAATCACCGAATGCCTTCAGTACAGAGACAAAGTCAGGAGCCTCAACATACCAAACACCTTAGACGCAGCACTCAGACCCGACGCAGACACCACAAGACAAATCTAAAACTTTTTAAAAATAACTAAAACTGTATTACATAATTAAAAAAAAAAAAAATATGTGAATGCAAATATCATAATGTAAATTGTAACTAAATAATGGACATTGTTCCCGTGTTAAGTAAGAACAATAAAAAAATAAATAAAAATAAAATAATTTAAAAATACAGTAAATATGTATGAAAATGAAGTAATAATATTACAGAACATTAAATAATTTAAAAGAAGATTTGGCCATGTTTGTATAGTTTATATATACTTAAGTAATTGTAGGTACTCCAATTATAATGTGCAAATTATTTAAATAACTGACAATTATTATTCCGATGAGTCGTTTCTCTTATTCAAGTAATAATAGTACAGGTGTGTATAAATCATGTTATATACTTGATTTAAATATGCATCTCAGTCGTGATTGGCTAAATTTCGGTTTAGGTGTGCAAGTGACATTGTCTAACGCCAAAACATATGAAACTTTAAATCCTTCCGGATGGCGAATACCCAATTATCATTAATTCCGGTAATCGTCGGGAATTATTTTAACATACAACACGTCACATGTTCCATTATATGTTGTCCCGCTTTACGCATATCGTACTTCTCGCTGCAAATACGCCTGTTCAACACCTTTTATTTTTACACATTTACACTAAAATCGATACCCAACTCCAAAGGCTATACAACAGGTGAGGTTCACACAAATGTTTGTGTTGTTTGTTTTTGATGCAGCAATGTCAAAAAGATTGTTTTTCGTACAGATCGGCGGTTCGTTCCCGAAGTATCACGAAGATCGAAAGACTAAAATTGGGCTCATTGAATTCTACAATCGATAGCGTTGAATTCCTTGGAGGGCAATATATATTTTGTATAAATACATAATATGATAATATATCATACCTACCATTAGAGTTTTATTTTTCAACAACACTAAATATGTGCTGTAACTATACTATTTTATTACTTCGTTATTTTAAAATTTAAAATTTGTTTTCTTAGAAAATGTGCCTGTATCAGTTATATTATTATCGAGCACGTAATTTCGATGAAATCAATAATCGTGCACATTTGTGTTCTTAACTTTGTATAGTATTTATTTTATTACCAATAAGAGTGGGCGACGATACCTATTTATGCTCGTCAATACAGCCATCAGGTCAGAAGTAATTTTATTTTAAATGGGTGCTATTTATTTTGTTTTACAGAAAAATGTTAACATTGTAATCAAGTTGTTAGAGCATAAACTAAAAACAACATTTGAATATTAATAAAGAGAATGATGAAAAAAATCAAGTATATCATCACCAGTAATTTATCTTTTCTATTCGCAATTTAAAAAATACAAATTGTAGATTTACAGTCTACGTGAAGTCTTTGTTTAGGTGCTGCGTAAAAATACTTTCAAATTCTATGTAATCTGAAAAAATATTTTTTATGAAATCTTTCTACTATGTTAAACATTATTATAAATACACAAACATATGTTAGTCAACTTTAATGTCATTATTACATTATGTATAATAGGTATATACATAAGGTAGTGCGATTTCCAAAGAACAACAATAAAATAGTTATTTAATATACAGGATGATTCATCAGGGATACTCAATACTCATCCCCGTTTTCTTTTAACTATTAATTTATTCAAAGTTCTAATTTTTGAAATTTTTAAGTATACTTACATCCTTAGACTTGCTTACTTTATACATTAATGTACTTACAAACCATATTTTAAAAAAAAAACAGCTGGTATAAAATTCACTGTAAAAAGGCTGATTCTTATTTAAAAAAAATCATCAGTCTCCATGGAAATAAACCTGTTAAATGGCACTGACAATCAAAATATTTTAAAATATAGTTTTTAATTGTGAATATTACAATTATAAACATCACAATTCAACAGATTCATTATTGAAGCAAAACAGAACGGCAAGCAAGTTTGGCCAATCGAAGTATTAGGAGTGTAGCATGAATACCTGAAAGATTTACATTTAAATTACATTATTTTGTAAACAAACATATTATGATATACTCTATAATATGTATATTTTGAATTCAGTGAATAAATAATAATTAATTAGTACATTTTAGAAATGTCGAGTTAATTATACACTACCAAATGTTTAGTTTATTATTAGTTATATAAAGTAAAAATATAAAGTTATGTAAAGTTATAAGTATAATAAATTATTTAAGTTAATAAGTTACTGGCGTGTACGCAATATTTTCCTAAAGAAGCGGGGTTCAATTAAAACTAAGGACAATCATATACAAGCCGCACGCACAACCCCGTCATCGTACTTGCCCGTTTGTAGATTTAGGTGCAAGAACAAAGTAAAGACGATAAACAGTGCCTCTGAGGGTCTGGATGTGAAAATACACTCACTAATTATCTGATATGTAATCACTAAAAATAATAAATAAAATCATTGAGTTAAAAGTGTTTTAAGTTTTATAAATGTAATTTAAATATTATCAAAACTAGCATTTGCTTGTATTTTCATAACAAAATACAACGGTCTCGATCGACTTAAACTTTTATAACAATTTAACTCATTATATCAAATATTATGTACCCGCCTTATGGTAATGACACGCAGAACGTAATTTTATTATACTATTATTATTTTGACTTCCATATACACTATGTACGATATTTTGTAATTATTACAATACATAAACGAAACTGTATAGAGTTTGATCACATAGACACAGAATAACCAGAATGATCACTTAATGAGAACTCGATAATCGGTGGAAAATGTTCGGTTTACCCATCAGTATAGGTAGAATTCGACCATAATTAAAAATTCTCTTCAGCTGTTGAAATCAGTTTCTACACATTTTTAATGTTATCATTGGAAACCAACTTTAGATCATATATACTGTGGACAGAGCCATGGCCTCACAGATGCATCTATACTACAGTATAGCGGGGCCGTGTTTAGAGGGGGGAAGACAATGGGGACATTTTTCCCGGGCGGCCAAATATTGATCTATTTAGGTGGGAGGGGGAGGGGGGGCAACGTTGTTTTTCCAAAACAATTTTAGAAATGAGTATTTATTTAAGAAACAACAACCATATAGAAGTCTATCCGTACATTGACATTGCATTGAACTTTGTACTCCAGCTACAATGTGTTCAGCTGAACGGTGTTTCTCTACACTAAAGAGAGTTAAAAGCTATTTAAGATCAACCATGAAAGAAGAAGACTGAATGCATGAGCTGTTCTCGACATAGGAAATCACAAGACAATTGTGATAGACTGACTACAAAGATATTATTGGAGAGTTTTCCAATAAGCAATCTAGAAAACAATAATAATCATTGTAAATCATTCACTTGTGTAGATTTTTTTATGCAAATAAAGAATTATAACTAAAAATGTGTTAGGGAAAACAAAAAAGTGGATCTATTTTTTAGTTGTGTGGGAGAGGGTGAAAAAACCATAAAAATATGGTTGACCCAGTGCACAAAAATTGAAAATACGGTCTTGCAGTACAGTGCAGATATCTTTGTATAGCCTATAAAATACTTAAGATATCAATAATGATGTCATGATAAAGACGAGTTATGTGGCCTCTCCTGAGCATTTATTTTTCAGTGATAATTGATAAATCTGAATTATCTATGATATTTATTACATCGATAACTTGTGCCATTGATTATTATCGTTATACTGATATACCAACGGGTAAATCAAATATATCCACATAAGGATCCATGTCGTTTACA